GATTTCCAAAGCAATTTACATAATTTTTTCTTTTACATTTTGAGCTTTTATTGTGCTGCAGCGAGGTGTGCGCGCAACCAAACGCTCAAAATTTGACGTATTTGACTCTAGAAGATCGATGTACAAATGGGTTAAAACTAAAGATTGCGTGCTTCCTGGTTTTTTCCCCCTCTTTTATTCATTTTTGTAGTATCTGTCGGTACAACTGCGGCTTATTGAGGCTAATGTCGCTTGTAAAAAGCTTTACAAATATTTGTCACGTTTTAAAAATATAAATGTTTTCAAAATGAAGTAATAATTTCGTAAAGAAAAAATTACAAAAATAAAAAACAAGTACCTATACATATGTATAAGGTATGTTGTACATAAAATATTTTAAGGATAGAAATAAAACCAAATATTCACCAATGACAATTTAAAAAGACGATTCAAAAGGAGAGAGTAATAACATTTCATTTAGAAAATAAGCAACCATAACAACACCTCCTTCTCTCTCAATTTCTCATTTCCATATTGTCAATATAATTTTACATACCGACTAAAATATAACGCTTGGACCAAGTCACCGTTGCTTATTTTACGTGTGAGCGTAGTCTACTGAACAAAAAAGGTGCGCGGACAAAAAATCGTTGACAAAATGTCCTGAAACCAATACTAACCCTTTCGTTGCATGCAGACTTCCTGTCATACTATTTTGTATTTGAGCAATTAGCCTTTTGCTGCGTCTGCAGCAAGTGTTGTTACGAATATGTTGTGAGTGCTGATTTCAGCGTATTACACGCTTGACTCCCTGAAGGCGTTTTATGTGTTAAAGCAATTCGCCTTTAACTGCGTCTGCAGCAACTGTTGTGACGAATATGTTGTGCGTGCTGATTTTAGGTCATTACATACTCGACTCTCTGAAGGGGTTTTATGTGCAAAAATAGAGTACCCTGTTGGAGAACAACAGAAGTGAGATTGAATGAATCGCTCAATCGCTACTTCGTTCATTCTTTAACAGCTTGTGCTACTTGCGCTCATAAAACGCCTTCAAAGAGACAAGTATGTAATAAGCTAAACTCAGCACGTACAACATATTCTCAACAACAATTGCTGCGGACGCAGCTGAAGGAGAATTGAAAACAACCGTATAATACATGTTGAAGAATATTTTAGCTCTTTAATTAGCATTGTTACCGGTAGAGAATTGTATTTAATGGTCCTCTATGGGGCATCACTTTTCATTTTTTATTGATATCTCAAGCAAACTACGAATGCGCACCACCACCACCCCCCTTCATCCCAAACAAGTCATTCCTTTGTGTTGTATGCTGAATTCGTAGTTCTCGATTTTCTTTTTAAACTGGACTTCAAAGTTGATTGAATACTGAGTAAAATGATGTAACTTTCAATAAGAAGAGAAGCATATTGATATCTCTAAGAAAGAATATCTTATAGAGTGGGCCCATTCAAACTAAAGAAGTTATCTGCACAAAATTTAAATTGCAGATAGGCTTCTTTTGCATGAAGTAGTCAAAATGTCAATATTTGAAAATGGGCGGGACCTGTATGAGACGGAAGACCTCATTCCTGAATCGCGCGATACCTAATCCGCCACCCGTATATAGAAATCTAGAGAGCGTGTGTTGTCAGAACTTGGTTTTCAGCTAGTACCTTTGGTTATGAAACATTCTTTGCATGAAATGTAAATTTTTGACTTAAAATTGGAATTCTGCGACCAAAAAAACACAGGAATCGATATCTCACTTAGCGTTGTTTCAGATCATGATAATGATTTGTTAACCCCTGCCATGGAAATTTGGGCTGCCCTCCTGACTAGGGGAGGGGGGAGGCGGGAGAGGTGCTCGGAATTTTAAACATGGATACCGCTCTTACTGGACATCCAAACCGCGAAAATTTCAATTGTTGCATTCGGGCGTCAACATCAACAAAACTTCAAGGACGAGAGCAAAAAAACTATAACCAGGTACCAAGCATTCTTCTCTATGCTTTCTGTTAATTTTTATTGACAGTAAAATTTACAAAAGCACAAAATTGACAAGTCTTGACAAAAAAGTAAACAATTAAAATAATAAATTACAATACAAATTTTGTGGGAATGTACCCATTGCACAACACACATTTATTTGGCTGCAAGGCTCACAGTTCTTTCGATCGGGCTCTATCTTAAGTGGAGAATAGTTGGGCGTATTCCCGCCAAACGGAACTATGTGCATTAAGCCATGAGCCCTGAGACCCATAATGATACATGCGTAAAAGGGCTCACGTCATAGTGCACATAGTACCGTTTGGCAGAAATACGTTCAATTTTTCTTTCAAGTGTATTATCCCAATACATTTTCAGCGATTAAATTTTTCAAATCTTTCCTTTCACTAGAGGTTGTCCGGGAACGGACAAACATTTTCGTGAAAAATACGATTACGGTGTCCGCTGACAATTAAAAGACATCTCTGTCAAGTTTCTCAGCCTGGAGTAATGATTGATTCACGATGAATGAGCCCGCCACACCAAAGAAATTAATTCGAATTTTCTGAGATCACGCCGAAATCCAAATCTGAATGTTTCTCCTCTTCATTTCCTAATAAATGTTTCCTGAAAAGGTCTTCAATACTCTTTCCCACCTGGAGTCATACATTACAATTCTAAAAATTCACTAGACAAATTAACTTAAATTAAACATTGATTCGTCTATTCATTACAATGATAAAATTAACTACAATGCACTAAGACTGACAATAGATTTTTCAGTAAAAAGTAATCACAGTATTCATATAACAACGTAAAGCCTGCTGGCAATCTTAAGAGTATTGAAGTTTGTGGACTTAATATCATTAAAAACATAAACAATTCGTCACAGGCAAGTATGTGTCCAATAGTGAAGGTGAAAGATTCCATTGTCTTACTACCTAGGTAGCAATAATGATATCGTGATCCAGTCAAAAGTCGCCCTCAAAGACACATGATTGCACTTCATTAATCTACCTTTGCCATTGAGCCGGTTGATTTGGATGAGTTATAATCTAACTCAGGAGGAATTCCAGTGTCAATTTGATTACGAAGTATAATTATGTATTTCATTGCTCAAACGAAATAATTTGGATAAATAAAAATTCTTGTATCCTGCAGTGCCCAACAAACAGTGGGAGAAGGAGACACTATACTGAATATGAGTATATTTAATTTTACCTATATCATCCGGGAAAAAGTCGAAAAATATAAGTTTCTGTTAATTTGTACTTCATAAACTTCAAATAAAAAACTCGAAGAATAATAAAATGATCATTATCAGTCACGTGCGAGATTATTTGAAGTCGGGTCCCAAAGAGTCTCATCAGTCATCAGGTCATCTTACCCATTCAGAGAATTTTGAAAGGGAGAGAGCTAGCAGGATTTTATTACATTGCAACGTTGTTATGTTTCTTTCAACAATTTATCTATAATCATTAACAGTGACATATTTTCAGAGGAAATTTGCCAAGAATTTCTCTAATAATTTGACAAAAGTGTCTAACATTTTCGATGAATAACATAGATAGTTAAACAATGCATACATGAAACTTTTCATTGCGAGCCCTCTTGACTTTCACCTCTTCCTAGGGTCATAAAAATTTGAGCAAAGTCTTTCAATTTTTCATTATCTATAAAATTATTATTCAATCCAGATTTTTACGGCTAATTTTTGTAAATGCTATCGTCGCAAACATCAGTAACAATAAATCAGCAATTTTATCATAATCGATCGCAGTGTATCGCAGTCTTTAGTACCGATAACATTACAATAAATTAACGATAAAATCGAAATTATCTACAGATTTGATCCTGTTTATACGTATATCGCCATTTCTACATAAAACTCAGCGGAAAGTCAGTAGATGGACGTAGTCATGAGAAAAAAGTCCATCAGCCCTGGAAGATATTAGAGAGGACTTATCTGTTCAAAGGATTAATCGGAGTTTAGGATTGCATTTTGGATGCCGGTCCTGAGATAATGTTCTACCTGCCATATTACAGCGGTAAAAAAATATGTCTCAGCTTGGAGCAGAAAGAAGGGTTTCCCCGAAGGATTTTCTTGTGGATAGACTTGTTTCACCTAGAGCTGCTTTGAACGGAAATTACTTTAAGTAGAAGAAGTCTACCAGTAGAAAGTGGCATTTAATGCAACCTTTAGTGGTTTTTACAAATTCGCCTTTCTGTAGCTGCTCGAGAGCGTCATCCTCAACTTCTCAAAGTTCGTTCGCAATTTTTGTGTAACATATCGATGGCCACTGTGCGGAGCCACTTATCTACGTTTGCGACGTTGCAGACTTCTTGTCGTACTCTGTGTTTATTTTTTCGGATTACTAGTCAACGTAATTTCTTGAAAATTTTCTTGATTTTTCATGTCTGGCAGCAGACTATTCTGTATAAATTTCAACTCATATTGTGGCTTGTTTCTCTTCGAAAAAATAAAACAACGAACATGTTGAGACACCGCAGTGAAGATACGCGGTTTCGTGTTTTGGCCTTCGATATGTCAGCCATAAACTCCTTCCAAAACTCCAGATGCAAGTAAACTTTTTTCCGTCCAGATACGTGCAATTGTATTCGAGTCCATTCTTTTTTCATCTCCAGGTAATACACTGAAAAAAAATTCTCGGCGTTTTAACCAGGGCCCGTTGGTACCTTTACCATCTCACTTTTTTTTACCAATTATTGGTAATTCTACTAAGATAGACTGGTAAGCTAACCTAAAAACCGGTATTTTACTGTTTTTTTCAGGTAAGAATACCACTTTTATTGGTAATCAATTCCCGGTACCTTTTCCATTTTATCTCAGTACCTAATTCTACCACAGTCGATAAAAAATACTGGCGTTTTTACCAAGGTCCAGGAAAATTACCGAGAAAGTTCAACACTTTTACCAAGATTTCTCGGTAAAATTACCAATTCCATAAATGGTAATTTTACTAAGAAAAACTGGGATCAAATAGAACCCTGAATTCTTGGTAATTTTACCCTTTTCTTAGTAAATACACCGCGATTTTTTTTTTTTCAGTGTACCGCCTTTTTAGACGTTCCTCAACGGTGAGCTCAGAGCCAGTCTTGTTTGATGATATCAGCTCCCTTCTCGCCGATCATGTAAGCCGGGGCGACGGTGTGGCCGCCAGTAATAGTAGGCATGATAGAGCAATCGACAACCCTCAGCCGGCTCACCCCGTAGACCTGGAGGCGGGGGTTGACGACAGAGCTGCGGTCCCAAGGGGGGCCCATCTTGTTGGTGCAGCACTGGTGGTGCATCTGCATGGTGAGGTGCTGCACCGCGCACGCCCAGTAGGGGTCCGAGCCGTAGATCAGGTGCTCGCAGCCGGGGATCGGTCGAATTTGGAGTCGCGAGCCGTAGCGTTGGAAGGCCTGTGTTCTGGCTAGATCCACCGCCATTTTTATACCCTCGACGATGGTTGCTAGGTCTTTGCCGCGCGTGAAGAAGTTCGCTCGGATCACCGGCGCTCGCCATGGGTTCTTGCTCTGCAGCCGCACCTGAGGGGGAGAAAGAAAATGGAAAGGTAAGGAAAGAAATTTGAGAATGATGAAGATTGAAATTTTATCGAGCGGGGCAAAAGTACTTCAGGAAGGAACAAACTTTTGGAAAATCTGACGATTTATTAGGCTGAGAAAAATCAAGCTGAGTGAAACGTTGGTATGCTCTTCCCGAACATTTTGTTCTTTTCGTTCTCGCCAGAAGATTCGAATTTCAACAACTATTCAGTCTTGGCCGAAAACAAATATGAACGTGATATATATGGAAACCTCGGGAGGAAAAGGACTAGAGCAAGAACAAGAAGCGTAAAAGATGAATCAGATGTATTCAAGGAATGACAGAAGAGGACAGACCTGGCGCAACCTCATATGGTCACGCCTCACAACCTAGCATGAATGCAACCCGCAATACAAGGATATAACAGAACGTCTGTTAAAATAAAATTTAAAAAACGTCTGTAGAACGTCTGTTGTTGTTAAACATAAGCACACATAGTGCACGAGAATTCGTTATGAATGAAATTCATGGATCTTTACTTGTTTTCATCAATAGCAGACGGTCATATTATTTGTTTTCGGCCAAGACTGCTAAGTTGTTGAAATTCAAATATCGCGCCATGCTCGGCTCGGGCGGCGAGAGCGGAAATCATGCGCTTTCGCCGAAGGGGTTGGGAAGAGCATACCTAATTTTACTTGCCTTGGAGAAAAATCACATTTATCACAGCGGAGAAAACCGTTTCTTTTTGCAGCTTTTTGTTGCGCTGGGGAAAATACTTTACTTACATCAAAATAGCTACGTCGAGGAAACGTCAATTCTTATAGAAACTTTCGTGGGGGACAGTCACAAGGCAAATTTAAAAAATGATAAAAAACCGCGAACTCACTTGTGCTAGGTACATTAATTTAGAGACTCGTTTCGGGGCGAGATGGCCCCACCCTCAGTCGGCAGCGAACTCTAAATTAATATACCTAGCACAAGTGGGTTCGCGTTTTTTTTATCATTCTTTATAACGTCATTTCTTCTTAGTATCTGACCTTATTGGCAAGTAGATCGATAGGCATTTATAAAAAAGAATAGGTAAGTGAATCAGCGAATGAAAAAATGAAAGGATCACGATCCTTACCTGACCGCGAGACTCCGGATACATAAGCATAGGCCAAATAGACCAAGCCTCGACGTTCATGAGGTCAGTGAAGACGGCGTTATAAACTTCATCGGGGATGTTCATGGACTTACGGAGGATGGAGCCTCCATCCCCAGCTTCGGAGCCCAAGGACGCAGGGACGAAGATGTACTCTATATCGGGGACGCCCGGCGGGAAGGTGTTGTACTTGGTCCGGACGTAGCCCAGTCCCTCGCAGCCCATCGTGGTGCCCCACCCGGTGCCCAGGAGCCACTGGACGCTTGTGTTGATCGGGTCCCGCAGGAGGCGTTGCGAGATCAGGGCTACTCCTGTCTCGTTCACCGCGAAGCCCAGGGTCGCGAACGCCGGGTGTTCTTGCAGGTTGTCGCCTACTCTCAGATCGGAGACCACCTGAAAACGGAGGGCACAGGTCAATTGGACTGCAATTTGCATAAAAGAATTAAAACGTCTGGCTGAGACGTAAAAAAAACCTATCTGCTTAGGGAAACTAATGGCATATGTGTTGTTTCTAAATTGGGTGACACGGTTTCTTCCGCTTTATAGTTTTATCTGGAGTCTTGTATCCGATATCCTGTAGTTCGATCTAAGTACTGCAGGAATGCGCGAATTTGAAATGAAGTCAATTTAAGGTAGAAGTTAGGCAAAAAAGGAAACGGTTGGAAAATAAACGCATTTTTATAGGTTGGTTTGTTGACAAGTCATCGATGTCTTACCCTCTGATGATAAATGAAGTGATAAGATTGAATAATGGTCGTGAGTATAAGGAACTTTCCGGACTTTTCTTGGAAAAAATATTTAATCGGGAGAACCGAGGCAACGTTGGAATGCTCATACGGCGTCGAAACACAACATAGGCCTTTTAAGCTCTATCATTTGATGCCGCGATTATTCTAACGCGAGTTTGAATAATCGCGCTAAACACAGTGCGGCCGGTGTTGACCGTATACTAGCGCCCGCAAGACCTTAGGAATACTTCACGCAATGCGCTAAACAGTGCGGTCAGCGTAAAGCCCATATTAGCGCCTACAAGACTGCATGAATACTTCTCGGATTGCGCCAAATGCAGTGCAGTCGGCCAGTTGGCGTGAAATGCATATTAGCGCCTACAAGACTGTAGGATTCCTGTGGGACTGCGGACTGCGTGATATCATTCTTGACTTTCTGCTCCAGTTTCTACCCTGATTGAAGGGAAAATATTCATACTCACTGTAACGATTCAGCAACTCGGGTGATATTTAATTTTTTTGGGGTCGTATATTAAAAGAAAATAGAACGAACGTAAATACCGCGTATTTTTCGATACTTTTATTTGAGACCATTTAGGTAAATTTGCGGAAACTTTTCAGAAAAACTTTGTGTAGCTTTTTAAAAACATTTATTAAAAATAAAACATAAGAGTGGTGCATATCGTTGCAATCAGAGATAAATACACGCTTTCTTCCAGGTGCACCCGTCGGATTTCTAAATCCATTCATCTCTTAAAAAACTGAAACAGGGTTGCCCTACGCTTTTTTACGTGTAGTTTTATCCAGTGGTTGGCGGCCGCGGAGCGGCCACAGGTCCCTATTTCACTTTTTAAATGTCTATGAAAGCTCTCTTCCGCAATGTAGTTATCTACCACAAAATACCAAGGTTGCCGGATTAACGTTCCCTCGTTGAATATTGAATATTCACACAAACATGTAAGTTTCCAGTACCAGAAAAATTCGCGCAAGCCTATGCATCTCCAAAAAGGTAAAAAAGGGGGCATTCGCGCAATCCTATCGTAGCCATCTAGATTTGACCTGTTATCGAAATGGCATCCACATCAAAATCCCTTGACTCATACAAGATTAGCGGGCTGCTTGTTGAAATCAATAGACAAAGCCATAGACAAAGATGACAAACGGAAAATTGAGCGATCCTTTTTGTTGAAAAAGTTTGTAGTTATAGACTAAGGTAGAAAATTATGGGCTAACCAAAGATTCTCTCGTGGGTTGCCGTTAGTTAGTGTATTACTTACCTCTTTTGTCATTATATCCATCCGTTCCCACCAATAGGATCTCTCCCATATCTGTTTGTCTTTTTTGTCCATCGCTTTGTGCAACAATTCCAACAAGCCCGCTGATCTAGAATGAGTCAAGGGATTTAGGTTTGGATGTCATTTCGAAAATAGGTCAAATCTTAAGTAGGCTTCTGAAAAATACTTCATTTGTTTGGACATATTTTGTTGCCCGTCTGACGTAAGTACTGTCATTTCTCAATGATGTCCACGTGAGCTCTGTTTTACATATGGACGTATTTCTATCAAACGGACCTAAGCGCCATAGGGTGAGGAAGGTAGAGGGGGGTTTGGATTGGCGGCGGAATCGGGCGTCCGGCTTATTCCGTCCTATACTCGCAATGCTTTTCCATGGCGCTTAGGTCCGTTTGATAGAACGCGCTATCCGACATTCTAAATTCCTCAATAGGAACTCAAATTGGCGCTTAGTTCCGTTTGATAGACATACGTCCAGATAAATCCTGCAGGCTTTCTGGGACCCATGTGAAAAACGAGTTATGCCGTTCCGGAGAGCGACGATTTATGCTAAAAGGGAGTATGTTGCACGAATGCATGTAGCTCTTTTTCGGTTTGTCTATCAGTTTTAAAAATCAGCCCGCTGGATGACTCACCTCGATACCGTGCTTCTGAAGGTGCTCGGCGGGCCCAATGCCAGAGAGCATGAGAAGCTGCGGGGAGTTGAAGGCCCCGGCGGAGAGGACGACTTCCTTCCTGGCGCGGACGATGCGGGTGCGGCGGTTCTTGACGAACTCGACCCCGTAGGCGGACTTGGTCTTGGGGTCGATGAGGACCCGGGTGACGCGGGCCATCTGGACAACGTGGAGGTTCGGCCGGGAGTTGCTCGGGCGCCGCAGGAAGGCCTCCCCGGCGGAGACCTTGCGGCCGCCCCGGACCGTGCCCTGGATCCGCGAGAACCCGATGTTCGAGTAAGGGTTGTTGTAGTCCACCAAGGGGAGGTTCACCTCGGCCGCCGACTCCAGGAAGCGGTCCATCACGCGGGACTTGAACGGCGCGTAGTTGATTGACAGCGGACCTGAGGCAAAATGAATCGGGATCAAGGATCATAACTAGTAGGAACAATCGTCATTATGTCCCCCGTCCAAAGGTGCGAACAGATTATAGAAATGAAAACAAAACACTAAGAAGTGGCCCGAACTGTATATAACAAGGTGGAGAAATGGTAGAACTAGAAATGCCGGGAAATGCCCTACATAATGGAGAAATGGAGGTCGTACTGGTGCGCATTAGAGTTCAACAATTTAATTTTGACTCTAATTTTAATTTTTGGGATTTCTTGGCTTTGTTTCCCCGCGAAATGGTGTGGACCAAGCACCATTTCTCCACCTTGTTACAGATTATGGAAAGGAAGGTGTGATAAAATGAAATAAAACTCCAATTTCATATCCATGACATCGAAATATTTGTAATTCATTTGGTTAATGGATGCTGGGTTTAAGTGATCATCAAAATAAGTTGCATTTATCAGTAGGCAACTTGAATCGTAAAGTCAATTGTTCAGTTTCATTGCGATAAATTTCAATAAAATGGGCCCCTTGAATTAGTAGGTAGGCAACATTCGTATAACACTCCGATGCAGTAGTGATAACTGGGCACTTATACAGTACATCAGAAAAATATTTATCAGTACGGGATTAACAATAGTTTGTCAACGAGGAATCAATAGAAAATAAACCTATTTTGCGTAAAGACGTCGAACTTTACCATGAAATCGCGACTTATTGCAACCTGAACTTTTGAACTTATGAACTTTTCTCTGAGAATTTTTCTTAAACTTTAAAGCAGCATTCCTGCAAAATTTTTACTAAACATATTCATAACTTATCTGGAGTCACTGACAAGGTTGATCTACTTATGAGGTCTAGAAAGACCCAAATTCTAGGTGGCGGTAGCCACCCCGGCCCAATCCTAAGAAACTCCCCCTAAAAAGTTGACGACCAAAAAAAAAAAAAAAAAAAAAAAAAAAAATCGAAGAGACTCTCTGCGTGCCCCTGGCTTAATGTCCCAACGCATAGCACATGTCTGTGCTGACCACTCCTCTCCCTCCGTCTTACACTGATACTCATTAGTGCTCAAAATATTTTGACTCTAATTGAAATGTTTGAACTTTTCGGTCTTTGTTTCCCCCGTTGAATATGTTGGCCCAGAACTATTCGACCACCTGGTTACTTGTCTGGAAATTGAATATTGCGCCAGGGAAAATCTGGCAACATCCGATCGCTGACACGACGTCGCACAGTGGATCGAGTCAATCAGAGAGATCGGACATTAAATTTTTGACGAAACTACCAATTTTGATGTTTATTTCGTCTCATTTTAAATTTTACGGGGTACTTTAAGAAGAAAATTGCATGAGAAAATTAATGGAACCGTTTTTAACATTTAAAAGTTTTGCAAGAACGGATTTACAAGCAATTAAAGTTTCCAAACTTTGTCCGACCTCTCCTATTGATCCGATCCACTGTGCGTCGTCTCTCAAAAAGTCAGTTATGCGCATTAGTTCCTACCTCCACGTCCGTGCCAGGTGGAGTTCTTAAGTTCCTTGATGCCTATATTCTCGGACTTCTTGAAATAGGGGAGGAGGTCGTTGTAGCTCCAGCCTTCATTGCCGGCTTGGGCCCAGCGGTCGAAGTCGTCGGGGTTGCCGCGGGTGTAGATGTTGTTGTTGATGAGGCTGGAGCCGCCGACACCCTTCCCGGCCGGCCAGGCGCAGCGCCGCCCGACCAGCCCCATGCAAGCCGCCGGCTCCACCTCCGTCCGGTAGTTCCAGTTGTAGTTCGTGAACTGCAGGTAGTGCGCCGTCGCCGTGATCAGGTTCGGCAGTCCTTCCGCCTGTCCGGCCTCCAGAAGCAGGATCTTCCACTCCGGAATCTGCCAAACAAAAAGTTCTGTAAGAAGACAAGCGGTGGCGTGGCGTGAATGATTGATTATCTATAATTCTCCATTTGAAGCTGTAGTAGAGAATCGATTATCAAGGTGTTCGTAGCGAACACCTTGATAATCGATCCTTTTCCATAGATTTAAATGGCAGATCAATCGATATATCGCAAAGCACGCCACGCCACTGGTAACAAGTACAGCGGAGTCTCGATTATCCGCGGTGATGGAACCAGAGCAGTGTAAATTTTGCAAGTTGGCAACATTCCATTTAAAGCCGTCAAAAATATCGATTTTGGGAAAGGCAAGTTGCCTCACTAAGAATCGATTGTTTCGCCTGAATTTAAATGTAGGTTAAACAGTTTTGTCAACTTTCAAGAATGGCCAATGCTTCGGAGCAACCGCGGGTAATGGAAAATCGTTGACAATTCGAAACTAAGCCACATGGCTAGTACAAATAAGCGAGATGACTGTATTTCAAAAGAATTTATTAAAACATTCATCGAATATTGGGCAAGAATGTAATTATTAGTTAAACATAAATTAATTTCACCTCAAACAAAGTTATTTTGGCGAGCATCATGTCTGGAAGAATCTTTTCCCCCAAAGTTTGCGCCATAGAATTGCAACGTTTTTGGGTTGCGATCTTTACCATGCGTTTAGAGAGAATTCTCTTAAAGTTGAATAAATTTTTCCCCAAATTTCCTTCCAATCCATGAATAAACTATACGGAAAAACGTAGATAATCTGAGTCGTGGATAATCGAAGCGCGGATAAGCGGGACTCCTCTGTAGTTGACTGGGACAGCTAAAACAAAACTGGCGGGATCGAGGGGGAAGAGTCTTCTTTTGGCCACTTGAAGGCTTGACTTCCAAGGGAAACTGATGACGTTGCTAGGGGGGTCGGCTACCCCCAAGAAAATTGCTGCAGCACCAGTCTCAAGGAACCCACACCCATAGAAGTCGTGAGTATCTAAGTAGTAAATGCCATCAAGTCTCTCAAAAGGGAAAATGCAGCTACAAGTATAAAGGTTAAAGTTATCATCTCGCTATCCAGTCTTGACCACACGGAGAAAAAAACTTCGTGCGTGGGACCCGAAGTTTAGGTCATATGGATCTCTGAAGTTTTCGGATTGAGCATCTGAACACTTTAGGTCCAGCTGCTGAGGTTTGAATCACACATCTGAGACTTCAGTTCTTACATCTGAAGTACTTCGGCTTTCACATCCGAAAAACTTCGGTTCTCACATCCGAAAAACTTCTGTTCTCACATCTGCAGTACTTCAGATGTAATAACTGAAGTTTCAGATGTGTGATCCGAACCTCGACAGCTAGACCTAAAGTTTTCAGATGCTCAATCCGAAAACTTCAGAGATCCATATGACCTTAACTTCGGGTCCCACACACGAGGTTCTTTTCTCCGTGTACTTAGGGTAAATTTAAGAAGAACCTATGTGTTTCAGCCGAAGGGTTGGGTTAAAGTTTTATTATTACCTCTGATAGGCGGTTGGCCACGACGGAACCGCCGGGACCAGCACCGACGATGATGAAGTCATACTCCGGGAAGATAGGCAGGAAGTTGAGGGGGTCCTCGCGGAAGAAAACGGGTGGCTCGAAGTTGCCCAGGCCCTGACTCCAACTCGGCAGCTGGATCACCTGCACCAAGACACAGGCCAAGAAAACCGAGAAGTCCCGCATTTCATTTGACTAGACGATTGGGTGGACTAGAGGCACGAGTCGCGTTGCCGCAAAACCTTATTGTCTAAGTTCAGCTGAAAAACAGAGATATGAGATGGAAGAGCACCTATCCGTGCAAGCAAAGTTGTTTATGTATATATGAGGCCTTACATGAAACAATGCCGGATGTGAAATATTACCTTTTAGAAACACGCTTAAAAAACTGTTTTGTTCACACAAAAATTTAATATGTTTGGCTCTGGTGTAATGTACAGATCTCGAAGATCACAACTCAAGTATTTTCTCAAAATTTTTTCGATGCCAAAACAGTTTCTTGAATGTGTTTCGAAAAGGTAATTTTTCACATCCGCTATTGTTACAGATAAGTCCTCATATCTGCCGTGGTAGCGAAGAAAGAGACAAGTGTCAAATTTTCGAAATCGAGTTCCTTTCAAAATTCGTTTACTCTCTTTTAGATGCAATCACTGAAATAGCTAAAACAGCAAAATTCATCTTAATTTTATAAAAACGAGACATATGAGAAAGCCGTAGGTGAGCAAAAAATGACGTAGTTTCAGGCAAGACATCAGTAAGTGACATTTTTCCCCCAGAGAGCCAATGAAAAGGAGCTTTCGAGTACAGTGCCACCCTCTTCTGCCAATCTCTAACCTGAAAATGAGTTTGTTGTGTGTTCAAAACGCAACCACGGAAGTACGCTGAAAGCATGATAGCACTTACTGCTGTCTTGCCTAATAATAGCCTAGCATGAGAATTGAAGATACCCTTTTTATGTAATTGAAATAAATACATTTTTGTGAATCTTATCAAAATCCCCACATGTCAGGTTTTTCTCTCAGGGAAGGAAATTTCGTTCCGAATAAGTAGATACATTTTGAGGTATTAGGTTCAGCAACCTCGGATTGGTCGAAATTCTTCAATTTTAAGAAAGAGTTCTAAGCACTAATGATGTAACAATGTCCGTCTCTAAAGGATATTCAACTTTTAACCTTCATAATATTTTTGACCACGCCCTGGTTCCTGTTGTCTTCGAATTATCTTCACCTCAATTAAAAAAAAAAACAATCATTTCCAGGATTTGAAGATGGTCAGCTCCACCATTTTTTGCTCCAGAAATTCTCAACTTAGACTTTTAATCGATGAAAGTATTATACAAGCTGAGTGAACGAGTTGTTTTGAAAGAAAACATGATCATTTTTAGATGAGACTTATAATAGTAGAAATATCACGTAGCGCAAGGCTCATCTAAAAATGGACATGTTCCCTGTAGAAACAACTTGATCTTACATCAAGCGGTCGTGCCGAGTGTTGGTCAAAGTGATTAAAACGATCATAAATTGTAGAACTAATTGCTTCCCCTGTTTACGATGGACAGCGTACACTCTCAATCGCCAGGATGAAATTTGTTGCAAAAAATTTAGAATTGCGGCTCTTAGTAAAAGGCAAAAGGAAGCTGCTCGTTGTTTATCAGAGCGGTTTTTTCACTTTAATTTTGTTTTAAAAATAAAGTGCTAAAAAAAGTTTTTACATGGCAAATTTTTATTTTAGTTTCTTTTACTTGAGACTTTTGCTCCGTTTTGAGGTTCCTCTGAGTGGGAAGGGCCGGAGAGCATTGTTTGGTGTCGGAAGTTGAGTTTCCTCGTTCTTATAATTTTTACGAAAATGAATGCCTTTTAATGTTTCTGAATGAGTGAGAAAAACTCCCGGAAAATTCTGAAAAATTATTGCACAGTTCTCTCTAAAAAGAATAAAACACGAGAGAATATTTGCAATGCCTCCAATGGGGCTTTGCTTTTCCGACTGTGGCTATCGATATTTGATGTATATACATATTCAATTGGATGAGATTCAGCGCATAGTGACATAAGTGTTTTTCGCGACAATCTCACAACTTAGCACTTTAAATGAGATTCGAGAGGGCATAAAAAAAATTAGGAAAAGTAATTCAATATTTTGAATGCTCGGAGTATACGGTGTAAATGATGATGCCACTGTCGCATGTAAGGACCAATTCTTCGAAGATCTGAATGATGAAATACTGAACGTTGGTGCTGGCAGGGAAGCCATTCTTATGGGTGATTTGAACAGCAGAACGGGACGACGAGTAAACTGTAAAGTTGTTGGACCGTTTGGGGAGGATGCTGTTAATGATAACGGTGATCGGCTCATCTCAATTTGTTCTCAAACTGAGATGAACATTTTGAATGGCTTTTTTCAACACAAAGACATCCATAAGTATACCTGGGTCCAGCCAACGCGAGGATTGAAATCCATCATCGATTATGTAATTGTAAAGCACACTACTAAGTTGAAATTGCAGCAAGTTAGAGTGTGCAGGGGACTCTCTTGCGGCAGTGATCATCATTTCCTCCGAGCAGATATAGCGTTTCCCGTTAAAGGGATTAAAGATAAAGAGCCAATGCCTGAGCAACAGCAGAGTCAGGGAACGCAAAATCATGAAGTATGGTATAACATCGAAAGTTTGGAGCACCCTAGTGTCAAGGCTCTGTATCGGAAACGCTTAGATGAGAAGCTGGGGGATGGACTCTCGGGTACCACGGAAGAGCAATATCAGTTCATCAAAGATTGTATCCACTCTGCAGCGAAAGAAGCCCTAGGTGTTCACAAAACCAGTAATAAATACCAGCATCCTTACTGGTGGGATGAAGAAATTGAAGACGAGATAAATCTTAAGAGGCAAAAACACCTTATATTTCTGTCGTCTAAAAAGACTGAAGATAAAGTTGCTTACAGGAAAGCTCAGTCTAAAGTTAGGAGCCTCATAACACGGAAGAAGAATGAAGCTTGGGAAAGCAACTGTTCTAGAATTAACACCTACCTCGGGGGGAGAAAAAGTGCTGAGAGCTGGAAGTTAATTAAAGGTTTACGTAGAGACATGAAGCGCGACATCGTTTCTCCGATATCACTTAAAAAACTGGAGGATCATTTTAAAGATCTTTTGACGGAAAGGCGCCCAGAGTTTCGAGACAACAGCACGGACAACGGAAGAATGAACAACTTGGAGATCCACACTTGTGACATAATTAAAGCGGTTAAAGAGCTAATTAATGACAAAGCACCGGGTCCTGGTGGGATTCCTGTCGAGTTGGTCAAGTACGGGACTGCCAAGCTCTTTGAGTGCCTCAGAAAACTGATGCAACAATGCATCAGGGGTGACGAGGTACCAAGGGAGTGGAAGGAGTCTTGGATCAAGGCCATCTACAAAAAGAAGGGAAGGAAGGACGACTGTAACAACTACCGGGGGCTCTCAGTGACCGGGACAATAAGCAAAGTGTACGGGAAGATACTGAAAGCGAAGATCGAGGACGAATGGCAGGATCACGAAGCAGAGGAGCAGGCTGGTTTTAGAGCTGGCAGGTCTACGATAGATCACCTCTTTGTTATTGTCCAGGTCATTGAGAAGAAAATGGCCGTAGCTCAGGAACTGCATTTAATTTTTGTGGATCTCCAGAAGGCGTATGACAGCGTGCCGTTGGTGAAACTTTGGGAGGCCTTGGAAAAATCGAATTTTAACGGGGGGTTGATTGACGCTGTTAAGCGATTTTATAAAGGGAGTTTTACCAAAGTTAAGTGCCATGGGGGGTTGTCAGCGGGATTTTATGTGACTAAGGGTTTAAAACAGGGATGTTGTTTGTCGCCAACATTATTTAAAATTTATCTCGAGTGCGTGCTAAAAGAATGGAAAAAGAAATGCTCCGGTATGGGTTTCCCCTTGGGTGATCTCGAAACTCTGTTTACTCTGTGCTTTGCTGATGACCAGGTGGTGGTTGCTCAAGATCAAGATGACGCGGAATACATGATGCGCAAGCTAGTAGAAGAGTATCGGAAGTGGGGTCTGGAAGTCAGCATATCCAAATCTGAGAAGATGACTTTTGGCGGTGATCAGCAAAGCATTGAGTTGGAGGATGGGCAGCAGATCAAAGGCTGCGAGCACTTTAAGTACTTGGGAGTGCGGTTGACCCAGGATGGAAGGACGGATCAAGCTATCAGGGAAAGGAGCACCTTAGCAAGGAAAGCTATAGCGATGTTAAATGGAATCCTCTGGGATCAGCGGATTTCCAAAGATAACAAGAGGAGGATATACAACGCTGTAGTCAAAAGTATATTAACATACGGATGTGAAGTTTGGCAGCTGAAGAAACGGACACAGGATATGCTAAGAGCAACGGAGATGGATTTCTGGAGAAGGTCAGCAGGAATTTCCAGGAGAGATCGGGTCCGTAATGATAGAGTGCGTCAGATAATGGAAGTCGAAAATGACATCGTGTTCGACGTCATGACCAAACAACTTGTTTGGTATGGTCATGTCAATAGGATGTCGGAAGAGAGGCTGCCAAAAAAGATGCTTGATTGGGTTCCTCCTGGGAGGAGACGTAGGGGACGCCCAGTGAGAGGTTGGCGACAGGGGGTGTTAAATGAGATAAGAGATTGTCAACTCCCTGATGACCTGTGGGAAGACCGAGCTTTGTGGCGATTAGGCGTCGCACAGCGCCAAAGAGCGCTATAAAAGCGACTCATATATATATAATTCAATATTTTTTTCACTTCCTCACGACTAAGCACATCCTCTAATATGTAATCCAGCCGCGAGGAAGAGAAGTAGGAATAACGTGAGAAAATAGCAACAGCAACGCCTTAGACATTGAATCCAAGAGGATTTAAATTTTTCTTGAACAACTAAAATTTTTCTCTGAAGGTATCGATAATAAAGAGGCCCAAAAAGGCATAGCACCCTTCAATTAATTGTCGATTGACATTTACCAAATAGAAGAACAGAATGTGTTATAGGCCAGCATACCTTTATCGAATTTAGAATCATGTATCTGAGAAGGAAAGGTGAGGGAAGGATACGAGAAAATCGCTCCAAATCAAGCAACCTTGCTAGCAGGATTCAAAATTGCGAATACTCATAGAATTTTCCCTTACAGGACCCCTTTAATCCGTAATTCAGCTTGTTCAGAACTGGAGGTGACTGTCCAACACACGGCCCGTTGACTGAACCGTTCCCGGTCCGTGAACTGGACAGTTAGCCCGCAGTCTAGCCAGTCAAAAGTCTGGAAAAAATGGTCAGGTGTTAATTTCAAAAGCAATCCATGCGTTAAACAACAAATGCTCCACACTGACTGATTTCTGAGATATATTTTGCAAGATTTGAATGAAACTAAAAATTATCAAAATCAAAACATGGAAAAGTAAAAAATATACAGGTCATATAAATCAATTTATTTTTTTACTTTCTCTACAGAGTTTCAAATAAAAATGTGAGGTTTTTTTTTTTTTTTTTTTTTTTTTTTTTTTTTTTTTTACAAACATGGTATCCGATTTAACTAATCTGAGTAACAGAAATTTTTACTATCGGGAGGGAGATACATGAAACTAACAATAAGAGAATAATTCTCGGCGACGGTATATCCATCATTTATTGAGAAATTATTTCAAAAGTTGAAAATCAGAAAATCAACTAACTTTAGAAACTCCTGAGAGAGATTTAAAGAAATACATTTTAAATCCTGCACATTTAATTACTTAAGCGATTAAGTTGATATTTTGATCCTTGTTAGTTACGTTAAAAATCTCGCGGAATATGCTTCAGGNGGGGGGGGGGGGGGGGGGGGGGGGGGGGGGCAGTCGTCGGTCAGTGTGGATTGCATTCAAAATTAACGACCGGCCGTAGGTGTAATTTTCAGACTTTTGACCAGCGCGGCGAGTCCACTGACGGGCTGCCCAGTTCATGGACTAAGGAGAAACATCGGCCAGTTCGCGGACGGGACAAAGGGGGGGGGGGCACTAAGTCCCCGGACTGAAAAGTTTTGCCAATGGAGTGTAACAGTAGGACATGAGCCGCTTAGCAGCCAAGGTGGACTTCTCATTGACTTTTTCCCGGGGGAAAATTGATGACCAAGAATTTATTAGCAAGTCCTAAATTTTACGATAATTTTACTCTTTTAATACCAACGGATTTTCGATCTAAAAAATGAGGAATGTTTGTTTCAGAGTAACGAACAACGTTTGCTTTCGGATTTTAATTTTTATGTTAGCTCATAACATTCGTTCCTTATCCAGTTCCTTTTTTAAAGTTTTAACGCGTTGATCCATATCACCCCGTTCATTTCTCCCTTTAATATCCCCCCTGACTACTACGCTCTTCTCTTTAGCGTCTGTGACAGCTGCGAAATCCGAAGTTTTTTGCAGCAGCGACTCGAGAAAACTTTCCAGGGCGACAAATCGCTGATGCAAAAACTTTTTTTGCATTTTTTACTATCAGTTATGTGACATTCAAGTAATTATTCCCACCAGATTTCCCGGCTTTTTATCCTCATTTTAATCATAGCCACCGAGTTACATTCAGCAATCATGCTAATCGCAGAGCTCAAAAGTTGAATGAAATTACAAACATGCGTAAGTTCTCGGATGAAAAAAAAAATTAATTCTTTCACACGATAGAGGAAAAAAATCGAGCATTTTAGAATTTCGAAGGTTCAAATTATCCTTATTTTTAATCATACCTTTCGTTTCCATTTTTTTTGTGGTGTGCCGAAAAAATGAAGATCAATGAGAATAATTAGTTTCATTGCTTGGAATTAATGCGAGCTTTCTCATTTCATTCTTGAAAAAGGTATATGTCTTTCCTCGCTCGAAAAGCTCTCAATTGAAGAGGAATCGTCTCTTTATGACTCAACACTTTTCATACAGGAATGCAGACATTTTTGCGCTGCTTTTTTGGGATCACCTTTTTCCTTTTACTCGATCCATTATGTAAGATATAATCTTGGAGCATGTGAAAGAACACACCCCGTTTTCTCGTCCTCCGCACGCCCATAAATCCAAGATTCCACTGACATAATTATCCTGGATCCGAGGAAAAGAAAAAAAAGATAAAAAAAAAATGGATGCGTCGACGCAAAATTCTACTGCGCGTGATCAGTAAGAGACCTTAAAGTGTGATGAAGTCAGGCAAAAACCAGGCCTTAAAGGTAGGAAATAGAATGAAGTAACTTTACCACAGCTTAGAAGGGTTAATTCTGCATCATTTGGTCAGAGGACGCTAATAAACTAAAAAAGCATTGACTCGGAGAGGACAAAAATCAATAATTTGAGATTGGAACTGAAAGATTTTGCCTTCGCAGTCGCAAACTTTAGAAACTATAAATTTTAAATACATTTAACATTACAACTGGGTTTTACGCAAAAATATGGCTTAAAATTTTGAAGACATGATTTTGAGAGAGGTAGAAAGTGTTTAGTTTCAAACCGTGAAATGCAATATTTTTTAATTCGAAAAAGATTTTCTTGATGTACCGAACAGTTTAAACTTCTACCTAAAGGGCCATTTTGCCTTACTTTTTCACAACTCATGGTCGTGCATTTTCATTTCCTCTTGGTCGTAAAAAAGGTGTAGGAATGAATATCAAGATTGTCTTGTTCAAAGCACCGAGAACATTTAATTTTAAACAAGCATTATCAAATTACCAGAATGGGAATCTGATGGGCCCCATTTGTTCTCTTTCCTTACGATTCAAAAAAAACCTCGGTGAGTTGACTAAGATAGGCTGCTTGTATGTGCACGGTCAAGTTTGTTCTATTCGCTCCAGCTTTCAGTCCAGATATAAATGTAGCATCAATCATTCAACCTGGAACAAACGTAGAACTTGATTAGAGAAACCTTATGGAAGCACTCGGCGAGCATCTCTTGGAAAACTTGAGCAAAATTATTCGATACTATTTTTTTATTGTGAAAATTTCATTCAATTCTTTCGTTGCTTTCAAAATGAAATTACACGGATATCTCACTTTATTTAAGTGATATCTCACTATCATATCACTTTAATTAAGTGATATCTCACTTTAATAAAATGATGACGCTGAGGTCAGACCGTGTCCATGTTACTTAGTTTTCACATCCCTGGTAAAAATTGGCGATAAGAGCTGCGTTTCAAAATACCATAGGAATTCTTATAGCCGGCTAAAGAAGGCTACAGAAAATCATAAAGCTGGCTGTAGAATGCGGAGAAAATCATACGGCCCGGCTATACGAAGCGATAAAAAATTATGCAGCCGGGCTATAGTTCCTATCGCCGGGCTTTACACTTTATCGCCTGGCTGTTGCTTTTTCGCCATCGATTATAAAAGGCCATAAGAAATTGTGTAGAAAGTCGTGTGCTTTGGAAATCATTAAGTTTGATACGGAACCACCTTATTATTTACAAAACACACATTATATTTTCCTTTAATACATAATTTTTTTCGTCGATTAAAATGAGAATAACCCATACAGGATGTGCAAACATTTCAAAATCATGAGTTAAATAACGCTGACTCCGCCAGATTAAATATTAGAGCCTAGCATAAAGCGGAGCGGCGACGCACTGGCGCCTACAAACCTAACAGGGATACTTTACGCATTGCGCAATGCGTGAAGTATCCCTGTTAGGTTTGTAGGCGCCAATGCGCGTTTTGCGCTGGCTGCCCGCCTGCCGCACCGCAACGTGCCACGGCGCTTGAAGCAACTATTTCACACCAGAGGTATTGCACAGTATCATACGAAACTGAAGGCGCTCTAATATATTAGGAATGGCAGGCATCCATCAAAAGTACGGAGCTTTCCTCGCAAAATAAATCAAGATACTACGGCCCAAAAAGAGAGCAGTTGTCCAAAAACTCACTAAGTCCTAGCATTCGTAATTAGTGACGTTTAGAATACACTTTATCGCCTGGCTGTGAGTTGCTTAATCGCCATCGGCTATAAAAGGCTATAAGAGATTGTGTAGCCGGTTGTAGAAGCTATTGAAAATCTTACAGCCGGCCGTAGGTCTATGGTATTTTGGAACACAGATTCTACAGCCAATTTTTACCACGGATAATGTTTGCATGATATCAAACATCTCACATTGACCGCCAAGATTGTATAAAATTACAAGATTGTATAATACTAGATTGCTCTTATTTTCCAGGGGTTGTTTCCTGTTGTTACGACTTATAAATGGATTTACGGAGTTAAAGCGGGGCACATTTGCTTTAAAATTACTATTCCGAGTTGCTAAATTTCCTTATCTTCGAGTCTGTATAAAGTGGTTTTCTCTGCATTGTTAGTCAATTATTTTTTCTCACTAGTTATTAGTATCCGCAATTACGGAAAACGAACAAGAAAGTTGAATTTACCCGCCAAATGTCTACTGGAAGTAATATTTAAGTTAAGAGGTTTGGGCCCTCTAAGTTTTTATCCTGTAGCTGTGTTTTGCTCTGAATGTGGAGTCTTAAATTACAAGAGTAGGTTTTTGAAGAAGTACGATTCTGACCACTGGCTTAATCCTACTCACTCATCGCGATGGAATCTATTTTTCAGGGTTGAAACTCACGACCAGCAGCTTTAAAAGTCAGGTACGCAATGAAGGAACGTACATATTGCGTGCCGCCAGAAAAGTTTCAAATTTGTATTATAAATATCATGGGTCGAAAAACGAGAAAGGTCAAGTTTAAGCGGAACGGATTGAGGCTGATTTGACGTCTTAGCGTCAAATCGGAGATACAATGTAAGGTTAGAGCGATAAAAGTTTAAATGTGTGGATTTCACACCTGCGAGTTATGAAGCGTAAATGTCATACGACTGGTGTCGTGGCCTTGTCGGTGGTCATGGTATTATTATCATTACTCATTAACGCGAATAACGCACGGCAACTGTGTATTGAGCCGGTGTGTGTACTCGCGTGGCGGGAATTTATAGACTCATGCGTAGTATTTAAATGGTGAAAGTCACAAAACACGTAACTCGGTTTTTGTAAAATTTGGTAAAATTTTTAAGTAGTTAAATTTTTTAATTCTTCCCGTTTTTTGGTCCTTCCTTTTTCTTTTTTTTTACAAAAAAATGAACGTTGACGTATGAAATTTGTATCGAATATTTTATTCAGGATGAGAAAAAATGAGAGTGATTCTAAGAATTAACAGTGAGTGTACTCGCGTGGCAGGAATTTGCAGACTCGTGCGTGGTATTTGGAATGGAGTGGGTGACGAACGACAGGGTGAAAGTCTCACAAAACACGTAACTCGGTTCTTGTAAAATTTGGTAAAATTTTTAAATAGTAAAATTTTTTCATTCTTCCCGTTTTTTGGTTTTTTCTTTTTCCTTTTTTTTTTAAAAAAAAATGAACGTTGACGTATGAAATTTGTATTGAATATTTTATTCAGGATGATGAAAAATCGGCGTGATTCTAAGAATTAACAGCAATTTGTTGTCATTTGAAAAAATTAAATGTGATAAGAAATATCGACGATAAAACTCGCAAACCACGTATCTCCTTTGCAGTGTTAAAACATCACCGCTTCTAATATATTTTTTTGAAAGTGAACAAATCAACATAATTCCTTGAAGTTTTTTCTAGAATGTACTCCATACAGAGAGGAAAAATCATGAAGTTTTCTAGAATGACGTTGAGTAGTTCTCTATCTAAAAAATAAAGTATGACAGGAAGTCTCCCACGTTCGGGATACGTGGTTTCGAGTTTCACCATCGATATGCGATGTTGCAAATTGAGATGAGTGTTTTGCGAATTTCACCTTTGATTTTCCGAAATATTCACGAGTTTAGCTAGAAACTTTTTCTGGTGGAGGGGATCGATCATGCATATTTTGGGGGTCGCGTCGGATTGAGCTGAAGTATTATTACTTTAACCTTTTGGACTCCCAAGAATTCCGTTGTTTGTCATACTGGTGACCTTTCACGGAAAAAGCGACTCTATTTCAAAAGAGCCACACCTCTCCTTCACTCGGTGAGATGCTACCTACGGAACTTAAAAACGAACTGTCATGTACCCTAAGCTTTTATTTGACACTCCTTATCTTAGCGGAAGTTCCTCGGTGGCGCGAGCTTCATAGTGACGTCACGTAATTTTTATTGAGCTTTTCAAGCTCGAGGTTGCCATTAGGTGAGCCATTATCACGAATCAGAGATGTTTTTCCGTTGTGTTTGCGCGAGGAGACCTGCTAATGCATCTCCCATCTCAGTGCAAATGTGATTAGGTGCTTTGCAGCTTTACACTGTTGCCAAATGGGGAAGAATATCATTTTATTTTGTAACTGTAAGTGTCTTTCAAGTAGCATCATGGTTTTTTCTATACATTGCTCATCAAGAAAGGGGATGAAGTAAGGCATAAGGTCCCTTAAGGCAGAGACTGAGATTTTTCACCTCAGCCAAGAAAAAGACAAAAAATTAAATTATGTGTCGAAAATATTGATTTTCTGTTTTTTCTTCCGAGCACCCTTAGATCTTAAGAACTGTAAGTTAATTTTTCAATTTGCGCTATCACTGATGTTGTAAGCGCTGGCAAAACTTCACCATGTTTTCCTCCGATTCGCGACGTATCATATTTTAACTTTGGAATGCTTTTAAAGGATCGATTTTTGAATTTTTGGTTGTTTTTTTTTTCAATATACGATTAATCAGGTTTTTTCTCCTAAATCTAGTCCAATTGTGTTATATATTTTGTTGAGTCAAGTACCATTCACAGAAAATGAGATCCTAGGCCTAGTAAATGTAGGAAGGTCTAGCCTAAGTATACAGTTTCCTCGTAGCTTTAATGAATTTTCATTGAAAAATGACGCATTGGTCTACTAAACTGATTGAGAACTTTGAAACGTGAAATCTTGAAAATAAAATGCATTTTTTATAGTTTTCATTAGGGAAAAAGTTATTCCTTGAAATTTGCATATTTGTTCAAAGAGGAAAACATACAGTCCTGTATAAACGGTAAATTAATTCTATTTTAAATCCAATGGGAATTTTCCGGAACTATAGGTATGTATTTCAAAGTTTAGGCGTGGTAATGGCTAGTTTTGGAACGTTCAGCCAATTATTTTATGTAGTCACATATTTTATGTTAAGGTGTTTACTGACCGACGCGACAGTAAACTTTGAAAATGATAATTCATTCCTTACCTCGGAGAGAGACTTACCGGAAGTTTTTAGACCAACTAATACGTTCAGACAGACATCAACCAATTAAAGTTTGCGTTGGTGGAACTGCTGGTTTAAATCGTTCATTTCTGTGATAGAAGTGGCAACCAACCTTTCGCACACCATCTACACAGTTCAATTATCCAGTTTGTTTAGAATTCAAAATGTGTAGCTTTGTTTACTTAGTGATTTAATAGACGAGTTTCCTCGCTCAAAAAAAAAGAGGTGGAAAATTAGATCCCGGGATAAAATAAACCTGGAGAAAAAATATTTGCATTCCTTCAGAGACGTCTGAGAGGCTTCAAATATCCAATTTTCATATTTTACGGATGAAAATTATTATATAATTTCTTTTCATACTCCGTATACCCGCTGCAGAAGCACAGCTTCCCGCGTAGCCAGATTTTGGGGCGATTTTGAATACAGAATGATTTATTACCTGGGTTACGATTATTTCTGAAAACGTATAGTTCTCAAAAAACAAATATATGGAGTATTTTAACTTTCATTGTACACATTGGAGAATCCATATTTCCTGTTTTATGTATTGCCATTTAAAAGTCATTTTTATTATTTAAATTTTCAAAATCATGAAAATTTCATAGACCTTTTGACCCAGGACGGTCTAAAGGGTGGACGCTGGAGGAGTCGGATTTTCAATTAAACGAACTATTCTTGAACGTA